TCCTCGGGGTGCAGGCGCCCGCCCCGGTAACGCTGCCGCGCTTGTGCCCCCGCCAGCAGGGAGCCAGGTGTGCCGCCCGCCGCTGCTGCACGGCTCGCTGCCCTGGCTGGACGGCAGCAAGGCCCTGGGCAGCCACCACGGCGCGTCGCCCTGGAACCTGAGCCCCTTCTCCAAGACGTCCATCCACCACGGCTCGCCGGGGCCGCTGTCCGTCTACCCGCCCGCCTCGTCGGCCGCGCTCTCGGCCGGCCACTCCAGCCCGCACCTCTTCACCTTCCCGCCCACGCCGCCCAAGGACGTGTCGCCCGACCCGGCCATCTCCACGCCCGGCTCCACGGGCTCGGCGCGGCCGGACGAGAAGGACTGCGTCAAGTACCAGGTGGCGCTGCCCGACGGCATGAAGCTGGAGTCGTCGCACTCGCGGGGCAGCATGGCCTCGCTGGGGGGCGCCCCGGCCGCGCACCACCCCATCTCCTCCTACCCGCCCTACGTGCCCGAGTACGGCTCCGGACTCTTCCCGCCCAGCAGCCTGCTCGGGGGGTCGCCCACCGGCTTCGGCTGCAAGGCCCGGCCCAAGGCGCGCTCCAGCACAGGTAGGGCTCGCCCCGCGCCGCCGGGGCAGGGGCGGCCTGTGTGGAAGAGGAAGAGCGGCCTGTGTGTGCGTGTGCGTGTGCGTGTGCGTGAGAGAGAGGGAGGGAGACACGGTGTGCAGAAGAGATCTCTCTCTGTATGAGAAAGTGCAGCTATGGGGCTACAAAGGGTGCAAGAGCCCCTGTGTGTGTGAGGGAGAGAGGGTGTACAGAAAAGATCTGCGTGAGTGTGTGCGTGCGCGAGAGAGGGGGTGTAGAAGAGGTGTGCGTGTGTGGAAGAGATTGTGTGTGCGTGTGTGTGTGAGGGAGAGAGTGGGAGAGGGTGTATGGCCTGGAAGAGACCTTTTTCTATGTGACAGACTGCGTGCTCTGGAAGAGGGGTGTGTGTGTGTGTGTGTGTGTGTGTGTGTGTGTGTGTGTGAGAGAGAGAGAGACAGAGAGAGGGAGGGTGTATGATCTGAATGTCTGTGAGAGAGAGGGCTGTGTGTGCAAGGGGCCTGATGTGTAATTGTGGGTATGTAAGAGACGGTGTGACCCGAGTGTGTGGGGGAGGTGTGTGTAAGGGGTCTGATGTGTGTAAGAGAGCTGTGTGTGTATGTGTGTGCGAGGGTATAAGGTGAGGGTGTGTATCAGAGGTGTGTGTATAAGGGGTGTGATGTATAAGTGCGTGTGTAAGAGGCCTGTGGGGGGGAGGGGTGTGATGTGTGTAAGAAACCGTGTCTATAAGTGTGTGTGTGTGTGTATGTGAGGGAGGGAGACAGAGGGTGTACGATCTGAGTGTGTATGTGTGAGAGGTGTGTGTGTAAGGGCTGTGATGTGTGCAAGAGAGGGCGTCTGGACAAGACCTGCACGTCGGTGAGAGGATGCATGATCTGAGCGTGCACGGGTGTGTGTGTGTGTGGAAGGGCCGTAACGGATGCAAGAGACAGCGTCTGGAAGCCCTCCGTGTGCCAGAGGGGGTGTGATCCGAGTACGTGTGTGTGAGGTGCGTGTCACGAGTGTGTGCGGTGTGCCGAGGCGTGTGGAGGAGCCGGCGCGTGGGGAGGGGAGGGGAGGGGAGGGCGGGGTGTGCGGGCCGGGCCTG